ATATAAATTCCGATACTGGTTTATGAAGCAACAGTGAAAAAATTTAACTCATAAAATAAACGAACATTGAGAAACGACCAATCCTGCGTAAAATTCATATTTTTAGGAGGTTCAATGAAATGCCCATAACTTAATCTCCTGAGCAAATATTAACATGAAAAATACGTATTCTCCTATATCTCAGCTTTTTGAAAACATATACATTGCCATATCTGCATGCTTAATAGCGGGCTGGGAAAGTCCTAATCATAATTACACTATTACTCATTTTTTCCCCTCCTACCACCTTAACTAAACCATGCACAATGGCTGAAAATAAGTGCGGGAGACATAACTCTGAAACGTTTTGACCGATTTTCAAAAACATAGATGTATGACTAAAAGATGCATGTCAATTTCGTTTTGGGTATCTGCATGTCTCATTTTTGGCCTTGCATTGACCTATTTCATATAAAATTCACATATAAGTGAATACATTACATATGCTGATACCTGGTATAAACAATTCCACAATCAAAGTCTAGAGGGTCTCTCTTTGGGTTAAAATATGTCATTTTTAATCCAACAATATGGTAAAAATGATATTATCCTGTTCTTGGCAGTGTGTTGACCAATTCAATTCAAAATTCACATAATGGTAATGCACAATGAATTAGACACAATTACATATAACATTTATTAAGACTGTCTTTTTGAGTCAAAATATTTCATTTATAATTCAAAAAATGGATGAAAATTAGGTTTTTGCCTGTTCTTAGCAGTGCATTGATTAATTCCATTCAAACTTATTATACATGAACCAACGTTTGTACAGCGAGTAAAACACTTCATAGATTTTAGGCATTGATCAAGTGGTCTATTATGAGTAGATCGCCTCATAGATTCTAAGCATTAGTTAAGTGGCATATTGTGAATGGGAACCCCTCATAGACTAGGTATTTGTGGAATGGTGTACAGCAAGAGAATGTCTTGTACATTATGGGTATGGTGTGGTGTGCATCAAGTGGGAAGCTACCAGTATATAGATTCTCAATAGATTTGGATATAACCCCTAGAAAGTGAAATTGCATTACTTTAAGCAAAATAACTAGTATAAATAATAACAAAATAACATAATAATTAGTATCGTTATTGTTCCCACAGTTCAATCTGAACTCAGAGTCAGAGCTTTGTATGTTCTTGCGAACCAAATCTAAAAAGCCACTTGTTTTCTTCCAGGCCTTGGTCTCACAGAAGATCAGATGCCAGGCACACAGCTCGATATTAAAAAATGGCCTGCAATGAAAGATAAATTAACAGAAGTTTTTTCCGAGAAGACGCAATCTGAATGGTGCCAAGTATTTGATGGCACTGATGCGTGTGTCACTCC